ATATTTTTGTTTTGATTTTATTTTGTATTGTAAGCCGCCCGGAGTCCTACGGGATTGGGCGGCATATAAATGTTATTAAATTCAAATTCAAATTCTATTTAATCCTGCTATTCCAAAGCACTCTGTCCTAAGAGTAAATCCCAACAGGATGGAAGTTGCTTCAGTTTCCAAAAACATAGAATGATGTAAAACAATGTTCTATGGCTTTATTGGCTGTATGTTTGACAACACTCTGCTTGTGTATACTAACACAAATGTGTAGGCCTCCTTCATAAGAAGATGACACATCATCAACTCAGAGGCTTACTTTGGGAAGCAATAGATCAGAGGTTTACTTTGGGTAGGGGAAGAACTAACTATGATTTCCCAACCTTGTCATACAGACTTAAAGACAACCTAGGAAGGGGAATGCATTTAAACTAGTGCCTTTCCAGGGAAAAATAATCTTGCACTTATTTCAGTTCAAACTTACCAGTCCGGAGGGTTTAGGACAAGGGTGTCAAACTGGATTTCTTCAAGGGCCAGATCAGCGTTGTAGTTCTCCTTCACGGGCTGGCCAAGGGGGGAGGGGGGAGAGATGGGACCTCCTGCAGCACTCTGCCGGCCAAAACAGGACACTGGGGGGTGCTGGGTACGGACATCCCACACTCCATTTTTGGCCTGGATGGCTTCCTGCAGCACTTTGCTGGCCAAAATGAGGGCAGGGGGCACGTTTTGGCTGGCAGAGTGGTGCAGGAGGCTGTTGAGGCTAAAAATGGGGCATGGGGGTGCATTTTTCCCCTTGTGCCTCATTTTGGCTGCCAGAGGCACTGTGGGACAGTCCTTTGCTATTTCCAAGCTAGTCCTGTGGGCCAGATTTAAGCACCCTTCAGGCAGGATCCAGGCCATGGGCCTTTAGTTTGAAACTTCTCGTCTAGGACAATTGACTCTGACCAACTTGCAACAGCCAACTCCTTATGACCAACTCTCTGTGGCCAACCTGCCATGGGACAATCACCACAGGACAGGAGTTAAACTAATATCAAACAAATGGTGGAATAGAGTCGTTAAAGAAAGGATGCAAAAGGACGTACAAAATGAAATGTGAATGACAACAGTTAAGATATTTTAAAAATTACTTTAAATGATTAAATTGAATTTTTGAATTGTCCCATGGTGAGTTGGCCATGCCGAGTTGGCCACAGAGAGTTGTCCCATTCCACAGTCTGGAAATATCCAAACAAGAAACGCTCCTTCCTGATGACTTCCTTTTTGTATATAACTGAAGCATAGGAAGCCAGGGAAGGTAATGCAGAGTGCTGGAAAGAAGATCAATAGTGAGCAAGCAGACATCCATTGATCACCTGAGAACTTTCCTGTCTGTGAGGATTTTGCCAAAAATTAACTCCTTCCGAGCCGAGGTGGCGCAGTGGTTAAATGCAGGCTACTTCAGCTGACTGCAGTTCTGCAGTTCGGCTGTTCAAATCTCACCGGCTCAGGGTTGACTCAGCCTTCCGTCCTTCCGAGGTGGGTAAAATGAGGACCCGGATTGGATTTGGATTTTATTCAATTTGTAGGCCGCCCTATTCTCCGAAGGGACTCAGGGCGGCTGAACAAAGCCAAGGGAGGGGAAATTACGAAAAGATTGTTGTTGGGGGCGATATGCTGACTCTGTAAACCGCTTAGAGAGGGCTGAAAGCCCTATGAAGCTGTATATAAGGCTAACTGCTATTGCTATTGCTATTGATTCCTGATTTTATCCAGTGGTATAT